GGATAGGAAAGGCAGATGAATAGAAACTCAGGGAGGAAGCGGGATGACTGCTGTTCCATTGTGGGAATTGTAATCAACGTCACAATTTAAAATGTGTAGGAATTGTTGAATGGAAAACCAATTTGCTCTCTAAGTGTTCACCCAAATCATAATATTGTTAAGTGCCACCAAGTTGGTTCCGACTCAAAACGGCCTTGTATAGGGTTTCCGGGGAGTGGCTGGTGAGTTTGAACCACTGACCTTGCAATTCAATTACAATAAAAGTTTAAAAACAAACAAACAAACAAACAAACAAAAAAACAGTTAGGAGTGCTAACCCAGAAAGTGCTATGTAAGAAAGACCTCTCCATCTGCTTCCACAAAGATTACAGCCAAGAAAACCCTATGAAGTTCAGTTCTACTCTGTGACTTGGAGTTAACTAAACAGCAGTGGGCTTGTTTTTTAAAATACAGAGAGCTTGTTCTGTAATAATGAGCAAGAAACTAATTAGGAGCTCAACCAAATGACAGACTACAGTAATTCCAAATGCAAATCAAAGTCATTTTAGACCCAAATGTGTTCTATAATCATGCTTTCCAATCTCCTCTTTGACATTATTATGTTTACTTGAAACTTTGAAAAAAATACATTAGTATGCTAGTATGCTTCCACATGATGTGTACAACAAAATCTCTAAATTCTGTATGTTGTTGTTAGTTGCCACTGAGTTGATTCTACTCCTGTGTGCCGAGAAGATGTGTTCCAACACCAAACCTGTCTTCAGGGTGTCTCTGGGTGAGTTCAGATCGCCAGCCCAGCTTTTGGCTAGATGTGGAGTGAATCACCATTTGCATCAACCAGGGACTCCTGAATTTTCTATAGCAACTCCATTTTGAAAACTCAGTCTTTCCAGAATCCCGACCTCCCCATTATGAGGCGGAGATGTGATTTCTTCATCAACTCATCTAGCCATGTCGTACCAGTGTCACACTAAAACTATTTACAAATGGATTCTGATGTGTCTTTTGGGATCTCAACCTCTGTTCCTAGCAGGCATCCATGAGGGGATTGGGAATCAGCTGCAGCCCTAAATCCAGTGGGCTGTAATTGCAGCTAGAGTGGAATGCGGAACCAGAAAGCTACTCCACAGTCTCTTGAAAACACACAATTCAAGGTCGCTCTTGGATTCGCAGAACCTGACCTCAAATGTCATAACTACGGTGGCGACACTAATGGAGTCTGAACTTGGTGGTTCAGACCCTTTCCCAGCCAGAAACCACTTCTGAGGCTCAGACGTGATAAACATACATACAGAAAGAAATCTTAAGTTTGAAATTCCTCAACCTCACAAAATGTTCTCCCCTACAAGAATGGTAACATGGAAGGAAACCTGTTGAAACGTTAGACTCATAACTGAAATAAACAAGTAAGTTTGTCGAACAAGTTATGTTTTATGACTGTTCACAGGGCCTCCCACTGTCTTATTTCTCTCTCTCTCTCTCTTTGGAGCGGGGTTTTGATACGTATGTTTTCATTTCACCCTAGGGAAATAATACAGTGTTGGATGTGGTCAGATTGGCTCTTAGCCGACACTGTGGAGGTGGTTGTGTGCTGTGGAATTGGTTCCGACTCATAGTGACAGAGGCTGTCAGTCTTTATGGGAGCAGAAAGCCTGCCTTTCTCACAAGTAATGGCTGGTAGTTTCAAACTGCTGACCTTGAGGTTAGCATCCCGATTCATAGCCACTATGCTACCAGAGCTCCTTAACAACTCATTAGAGCTCAGAACATCCGCCTTGGGACCATTGTGCCTCTCATTTTATAGGTGAGGGAAGGAACAAAGAAATGCCAGGCAGGTCAAGTAACTGAGGTCTGCAGTTAGGTGCAACAGAGCTTGGATTAGAAAACCTGGTGTGTTGTGTCTCTGATTTATGTGGTTTACACAGGAAACTCACTCAGTGTCTTCCATCAGTCACACTTTTTGAGGTTGCTGAGGTCGTAAGTGCCATTGAGTCACTGAGAAGTTTGGCTAATTTGCTGTTATCCTTAGCTACCATTGACTCACCCCCTAGCTCATGGCAAGCCTGTGCATAATGGCATCATCTGAGATGGGGGTGGGGGTAGAGCTCCTGATTTTTCTTCCTTGCCCTTTTAATTTAGAAGCTCCACTGAAGTTTGTTGAGCATTCTAGTAACTCTTCCACACGCAAGGCAAAAATTCTACTGCTAAACCACCCTAGGCCCCCTGCTTTTTTTGTTTATTTGTTTCTCCTTAAGCAATCATTTTAATTGCTCCTTCCTCTCTCATCTCCTAGTTTCTAAGATTGATACATACCATCCTTAAACCCTAAAGTACTCAAGAGCTTTAGTAACAGTTACATATATTAGTAGCAAGGTGCACTTGGTACTTGGCAAATACCTGGGCACCCACTGTGAATACCTCTGCTGCCCTGGCTCTGTGTGGGTAGCAAACCCAAATTCCCAATGACCCAAACTGAATACCAAACTCAATAAAAACAGCACACACATGAACTTTTGCCACTTTTGTAGTTTATTGTGGAACTGAGTTTTTTTTTGTTTTTTTTTTTAACCTTTTACATCAAATATCCTCAATGGAAGAGGGGATATTGCACACAAATATCATAAAAGCACTACATATTACTTTCACTGGAAACTAATTTTCTACATTAGATATGACTGGATAGGATAGAATGATGCAGGATTATAAGATATAATACCATACACAGCTGCAGACTGACACAAACACCATTCAGAACAAGAGAGAGGAGTGTGAGGGGCTTCTCAGTTGGGCTCAAGACTGCTCCTTCCCCCAGGGGTGGGGAGCAGAGAAAGCTGCTAGTAGCACAATGCTCAAAGCTGTGCTCACCGTGACAGCTGGGTCTTGATGCCGCTTTTCAGTGGCTCCTATTCTGGGGAGCTCCAAACGAGGGCAGAGAAGCTCTTGACTTTTTCCCTTCCTTTTCAGCTTTCGATGCTGCCTTTTTAATTAACTTAGTAAAGTCACAGACAGATCTTTTTTTATAAAAAATAGCAAATAGTTTTAATACCAGGTGAATTACCTAATTGCTTTCGAAGAAAAGCTCATCCCTAAGCTGTTTTTGGTGTGTTGTTCAGTTGGCTAAAAGATAAAAGCCTACAGTTCCTTTCACATGGAAACAGTATCTTTTTTTTTTTTTTTTCTAAATCAGAAGCGCGCAAAAAAACCCAAAAAAGTTATTATCCTAATTCACAATATCATTACTGAGCAAAATTTCTTTTGACAGGTGACTAAAGAGAGGCAATAAAAGCAACTTCGGAATTGTAGAACAGCTCCTAAGAGCTGAAATTTGGGAATAGAGGGAAGATGGAAGATGGTACAATTCCATTAGCGGATGATTAAATCTTATTAAAGGAGTATTAGAAAGCTCCTAAACGGCGTAAGCTATTGGAGACACTTAAACATTCATATACACTGGGGAAACCATTCACTATGATATGTAAGGTTTAAAAAAAAAATTTTTTTTTCGAACTCCATGGGTAATGGTGTTAAAGGGGGAGTCAGTCATTGTATCCAGTCCCACCACAAGACTGAGAAAGCATGCATAGGGGTTGGGGTTTGGAGGAGGGATAGAACTGGGTAAAATTGAAAATGGAGGGTCATCTCTAACATTTCATCTCTGTAGAATTTTGTTTACGAATACTACCAAAAAAGTCATGAGTGCTATCGATGGAATCCCATCATTTCAAGAGTTTCAACTCCTTCCAGTCAAATACTCAATCTATACATTGAAGTCAGCAATCAGTATCAAACAAGGCTCCTAGAAGTCTGCGTCAATCTTTAGCTCTCACCATGAATGTGCATGGTAGCTTGTGATGGTTGTTACAAAAACAAATTGTGCATGTATGGAACTAGCAGAATTAGGTTAGTCACACAGGTAGGAAAGGTGTCTGGAAGGACAGGCGCAACCTGTACTGCAATTATTATTGGTGCTCATCATTGGGACCAATGGATGGAGAGAGGTAAGAAAATATTTCATAGGGAAAAGAGCCAGCTGACAAGTGAGAGTTTTGTGATTTTTTTTCCCCCATTAAGTCCCATAGCAAAAAATAAAAGAGGAGTGGGGTACAGTGGTTATGGTTGAAGACTGGCTATAATTCTCCTACTATGTTTGTACTTTTTAAAGCAAAATAATGTACCCGTTGAACACATTTAGTTTGGGAAACTGGTAAATCATTCCATCTTCTATCAAAGCAAAGTCAACCAAAGGTCTGGATTTGGCAAGAAGGCTACATACAAATCAGTTTCTCCTCACATGCATTACAGAGGCCAATTCAATTGAACAGCTCACTGTTAAATCATTACCTTGAGTATCTTAATTTGACTCCTAAGTTTGAAGTAGATGAATTTATACTCACTGAAATCACATCAAAATGACTTTACCACTGTGTGTTCATTTTTTGTACCCTTAGTCATTATTGTCTTTTTAAGGACTTAAAAGAAATGGGGTAATAAATAAGTGTTTCTAGAGAAACCTAACAAAAAAGAGAAAATCAACTTTGAAAAAAAACAAAACATAAAATAACATTTGGAAATTATAATTCACAGCATTAAGTAGACTGTGTAGGTCCCTCAGTGAAGGGACCGTGAAGAAGCATTGTTTAAACCCTCATTGCAGCTAGCAGTGCAAAACATACACTTCTCAGTCAAAATAAACAATGTTAATTTTGAAATAAATAACTAACAGGCAATAAATGGGGTCACTGTCCACTACTTCGCAGATCTTAAGAGTCTGCAGGCAATTCGACACAACGGAACACAGTGCAGTTGTCACGGAGAAGTTGCTCCATCTGAACGCTGGGGGCAATGACCTGCCACTTGAAACCTGACATCAGTTTTAACCATGATCTGGCTTGGCTTCCCAGGTTCAGAGTTCAGTGATGACAAGGATGGAAGTGATCTCTGGATGTCTATAGGATGAACCGTAGGAGTTGAGAATTCATTTGTTTTTAACATATTCTTTATTTTTCCAGAAAGGAAAACCCTAAAGCAAATATGTGCTAGGGTTCTTTGACCGTGGCTTGGCTCTTTAGCCTCATGGTTGAACATCTGGAAAGAAGAGTCTAGGATGATGTGTTGTGAAGGCCCTGACTGACGAGTAGCCTACTTTGCCATTCTCCCCCACTCTCAAATAGTATATACTCAGATTTCTAGGTTATGGGATTCAAGGGGTGGAGGTATCATGGTCGTTATGGGTTTTCATAAATATTATTACTGCAATATCAGACTTCAACCTTACCAGAACTTCAGAAAACATTCTTTTTTTTTTTTTTTTGCCTAACAAAAAACTAAAAAAAAAAAAAAAAAAAAGACTGTCACTTGAAAATTTTCTTTGTATTTTCCTGTAAATGAAAACATGTTAAAAAGTTCATCTATGAAAAGTTCTCACATAGCTAAAAAAAAAATTCTTCTGTACATTTTTCCATTACATTGAAATTAATGGAAAATTAAAAAAAAAAAAAAGTACATGTAAGACAAAGGAAGGTAAATACTGTACACTTACTGAAGATATCTTCCACCATTAAGATTCACTGTTTTCCCAGTTCTGCACATAGAAGCCATTTCAATCTTGAACTTGCAGTAGTAAAGAAGCTATGAAAGGCTGAGGGGCCACAGGTACACTGAGATTGGGTTCAAACCACAAGACTCAGCATCAAACTGATGCACCCATCAGATAAGCTTCTAGTACCCTCCCACGCATACACACATGTTCCTTTACTTCGAGTATCTATAATCCTACACGGATGTTTTATAAACTTGCTGTCTCACATTAAAAAATAAGTGCATCGCGTATCTTTGTACATTCAAGTCACTTTCTAAGGCAAATTGTCTACCGTATGTACTCCCAACTGCTTTGGTATTTGCTTCAGTTAATCAGGATGGACTTGGGTGTTGACACATGCAGGTTAATTGACTGAGTGGCCTAAGTGAGTGGACAAATGCTGGGAGCATGCCTTAGATCAACCTACTTGTGTGTTTACAAAGTCTGAGAGTGCCGAATGGGGCCCAAACCACTTTACTGCTCAGTCTATACTCGCTATGCTATATGCCTGTGTGCAGCCCTCCAATAGAAGGAGCTTAATTAAGGCGTAAAAACCTCACAAGCCTTCATAACAAGTTTTGTTCTCTTCCAGCCCACTTATTTTAGAAAAGACAGACCTTTGATGACTCAGTCAGACTGACACAGATTGAAAATGTGCCCTATGTAGACTACAGAATACATATTGCCTGAGAAAATGCAGATCGAATTCTTGGTTATTTTCTCTTCCTTACCCCACCCTGCTCTCTTTTTCTCTCTGGATATCTCACCAGCCATCTTTCCTTTACATCCCCTTCTCTTGCATTCTTTTTCTTTCTCGCTCTGTTCCTCTCTCTCCTGTGTTCTCTCTCTCTTTGTGCGCGCTCTCTCGCTCTCTCTTGCTCTCTCTCTCTCGCTCTCATTCTCTTTCTAAGACAAATGCCTTGATCTAGCAGAAGTCAGTTGGGTTTGCTAGTGCATGGTTTCCAAATGTTCAGCAGAGATGAACTGGGGTAGGTAATTTTGCAGTAATTTGAACCCTATTGTGGGAATACTGTTACTTCCCTTAGCCATCCGCAAAAACTGAGAAATATTAGTGACTCGTATCACCGTGACACAGTATAGCATTTGGCAGGTCAGAGTTCCGCGACTTGATTAGACGAGTTGATGGTTTAGAAAAGGTGTTTTCCAATTGAAGAATTTCCGGACACAAAGTTCAAATCCTGTGGTGTGGCTGGCCTTGGTTTTTACAGTTCAATCTTGCATGCAGGGAAGGATTCATCTTGCATAACCACGGTGCTGCTGCTTGCTAACACCATAATGTTGAGGTCCTGCTGTTTCTCATGGGTCTCCTGGTACCACTCTCTCATCACTTCTGAGTCGTGAGTTGGGATCAGGGTCACCTGCAGGGAGAGAAAAATTAGCTATTGAAGGGCAGAGCCAGAAACCAGATGAAAACAACAAGGAGACCAACAAGGTGTTATTTCAACCATTAGAGGAGGGGAAAGATAAGATTTTCTGTTTTCTGCAAGAAATGCAGAGGATTTTTCAACTTGCATTTGCCAGAAACCACAATAAAGCAGCAAAGAAATTCATTTTTCTGGGGGAAGTTGAAGGCCAAAACCAAAGACAAGTAATGATTAGTCAATAAGTCCATCTATATTCGCTGCTAGTTTTTCTAATTCTTAAGTGTTACAAGAAGCATTTCAGTTCAGATGCAATTTCATGTATTTGCTTTAACATAACTAATGAGTTTTGCATTAAAAATATTGTCTATTTAGACCAAGGAATTTTTAGCTCTTATGGCAGCCTAAAGCTCTCATTGTTGTTGTTAAGTGCCGTCAAGTCGGTTCCGATTCACAGCAACCCTGTGTAGTGTTTCCAAGGGGTGGCTGATGAGTTAGAACTGCCGGCTTTGTGGTTCAAACCAACCTTGTGGTCCAGAGCTTTATCCCACAGTGCCCTTAGAATCTCCATAGTTGTGTACAGTTAACATTTCATCCTAATACGGAGCTCTGGTAGAGTAGTAGTTACAAGTCAGGCTGCTAACCTCAAGGTCAGCAGTTCCAAACTACCAGCCGCTCCTCGGGAGAAAGATGAGACTTTCTGTTCTCGTAAAGATTTACAGCCTCGGAAATCCTATGCAGGGTCATTATGAGTCAGAACCGACTCCACGGCACACCACCAAACTACCAAGAGGTGGCTGAGCTTCTCATTAAATCTCAATGATTAAGTAACAAGTCTATTTAATATTATGCAAACACAGTTTACTATATGACTCTCTGAAGAACCACAAGCAAAAGGTAGACAAAGAAAGATCACAGCTGAAATAATAGAGGGTGGGTTATGGCCAGGCCTGATGTTTGGAAGCAGACAGTGGGAGCGTCCTGTTGAGGACCATCTGCAGCAGTGCTCCGCCTGTGGCATCTCCCATGGGTTTCTAAATGGCCATATTCCCATTTATGAAACACAAAAGACTAAAGACAAATTGTTTAATAGCTCTCACATATATATAGGACCCCTTTGATTCACACACACAATCTTGTTACACAGGGGGCAGGGCAAGGAATTTTGGAGCGATTTTGCTGGTAAATTAATGACACCCTTACATAGGTGAAGTGGCCTTCCTCCAAGTCCACGGTGGTAGTGCCAATGCTAATATGCGAGACATGTTCTGTTTGTTAAACCCGTTTTTCCCTCTACATCATGTGTGACAGGCCCATGTGGCACCTCATAGGGACCCACAGACAAAGGTGTTTCTGGATACAGCTCAGTCAGCAATGCAGACACAGTCCTTGAACTCTTACCTGCATGTTGCTGCCCCACTGAGCTTTCCCTTCCAACAAGGCGTCCAGGACGGCCCGGCTTGGCTCCTCAGCAGCGGGGTCGTTTCCACTCACCACATAGTAGGATGACCTCACTCTCTTGAAAAATTCGACATCAACGTTCTTACTATTGCTGTGGTTGGGAATATAGCACAGGTCCAAATACACAGGGGGGCCTGGAGGCACAGCTGAGGACTTGGCCGTCTTGGTGGTTCCTGGTCCTTCAGTAAGTAAACAAAGACAGAGAAAGCGAAAGGGCACATCAATGAGAAGGGAACTATACACCCATTACACCTTCCTTACTCATCTCCAAGGAGACCCTCTGGGACATACTGTGGGGCACTGGGCATTCCCATCCCCTAGTAACTTGCAGAAGAAGCCCTGTGGTGCTGTGGGCTATGTACTGGACTACTAACCAAAAGGTCAGTGATTCAAAACCACCAGTCACTCCCCAGGAGAAAGATGAGGCTGTCAGCTCACTCACAGACTTACAAATCCTACAGACCACTCCTCCTCTGTCCTACAGGGTCACGCTATGAGTCAAAATCGATGGCAGTGGGTCTGGGCTTTGGGCCTGATAACTTGTAGAAGGCATTCAACTTTGGCAATTTGAGAAAACATGATAGTTTACCATCACAACAGGAGAAATGAAGAGGTGTAGTTTCCCTTATGGACAATGTATTAGAGAGCATTTCAAATGGAACCAGACTGTTAACTCCTCCTTGAAGAGCTAGTAATGTACATCTTAATTTGAAAAATGATCTAAGAAACAGATTTTCATGTCATAGGGAGGCACCTGTATTTGGTAAAATCATAGTCAAGAACTCTCAGTAATCCACTCTCAGGTCTCATTTGAGAGCAATTTTACAAGCAGTTGAATATCTTACCCTTATATTGGGTCTCCTAAATGGATGATCCAACTCCACATAGATTTAAAAATTCCTCAGCACAGTATTCTGAAAAGCCAGACACTCCTCCCTAGAACAAGGCTAGATACTAGGCTTTGGAAAGAGGAAGGTTTAGAAAGGCTAGGCTTTCACTAGCCAAGCAGGACATACCAGAGTGAAGAGAGGGTATCTTGCAGCCAAAATTCCCAGTTTAAATCAGAACGGCCTGGGCAAGTAAGAATTGAGACTAACCCAAATGTCTCCTGGCATCTTACTTGGTGAGCTGGCATTCTCACTTGTTCCAGGAAGCAGGGTCACCTCAGCCAAGCTTGTGCCCGCCCAGAACCCCTTTTGTTTTGTATCGGGTGAGGGAGACAGAAATCCACTGCACCTGAGTCCCCAACAGGCTATTCTAACTGGTGGGCCCCTCAGCAGGCCTTGTGCAAGCTTTTCTGCTGGAGAATAGTACTTCCTCCCTGCCACCCCCCCCCCAGTGAAGAAATCTGCCCACCCAGACCACAACTAAAGTCTGGACAGAGGCTGATGTGGAGAACACAAGCCATTACAAATGAGGCTAAATCTTTGTAAATCTAATATGACTAACAGGAAGCAATGAGAGAGACTAGGGTTGAAACAGAGTTTATACAATGAGCTCCAATCAGTTAAAACATTCACTGTTCATATGGCTCATATTAAGAGAACTGCTTTTGGATACCCTCCCCTGCTCTAGCCACCTCACTCCCCAGCAGACACACACACTGACAAAACTAAGTTAGAAATTTAAGTTGTAACATTTTAGAAACACTAATAGAGTGTCTCTTCACGCCTGAGGCACGTAACCAAAAAATCCAAATACCCAGGCCCCATCCTTCTGAGTCTGATTTACAATAGGGCTGGGGTTAGGGCCTGGGCACCACTATTTTTTAAAAGTAATCCAGGTTATTCTAATGTTCAACTGGTTTGGAGTCAGTGTTCTATACTCTTTTAAAAACATACGCTTGATCCTCTTCCCATTCTTTACACTTTGGCGGGACCAGTCCCTGGAAAAGGACATCATACTTGACAAAGTATAGGGTCAGAAAATAAGAGAAAGACTCTCAATGAGATGGACTGACACAGTGGCTGGAACAACAGGCTCAAACAGCAACAATTGTGAGGGTGGTGCACGACTGGGCAATGTTTCATTCTGTTATACATGGGGTCGATCTGAGTCACAACCAGCTTGATGCCACCTAATGACAACATAGCATTCGTAAAGACTGTCATCATATAGTCACAACCACCAGTTATTCTGTCAACAGCCCAATTTCATTTTTATGGGTGGTTGGAGAATAAGAACCAGCCCAACTGATATTTGAATAAACGGACTCATTTTTTACTAGACTAGCCGGTCACTTTTATGAATCTGAGTTGAAAGCTCTCAAAATATCCATTTGGGGGTCTCCTGTTGCATTCTGATTTACAGAAGAAGTTTCTATTCCATTTCTTCTGATAACTTGAGCACTAAGTTGCTGCCATCAATGCCAAATGAATATCGCTCATGGAAACAAATCAAATGACTATCATGCATGGAAAGAGGGCCTAAGGGAATTGCCACCAGTTGACCTAGGTTTGATTTAGAAATCAATGAATAGTGCAATTTTGCCTTTTTAGAAATCCATCAGCAAAGATTGTTAGAGTCAATTCAAATGGACTCATCTTTATTTACTACTTTGCTTTTAAATTATTTCTTTAATTGACCCAAAATTCTTTTTAAAAATCAACTGTGAGGACCATCAAGAGAGAAGAGCACAAGCAGAGTGTGGCACCCTATCCAGAGAAGCAGCGACACCAGAGATGGAGGAACAGATGAGGACACAGAAAGAGGGAGCAGCTGAGGACTCTGGACTCATGGAAAGAGAGGGATTGGGTACTGGCAGCCAGGAGGCAGGCTTGCTGAATGTGCCCTTTGGTTTTTAAATTATTATATAATATATCCCTGAGTGTTTCTGTGTACAAGCCCCACCCACCCACCCACCCACACACACACACATAAAACAGGTAATGGAAGCAAATACTGTTGAAGGATGATGCATGGAGGAGATTGTAATTATTGCAATGAAACGATGGTGTAAAGCCGATGTTCTCCCATGTAAACTATCAACTAAGTTCACAATAAAAACTTGAAAAAAAAAATCAGTTACGGAGGTTAGGGCATATACTCTGGCAAGTTTTGGTAGCAAATTTAAGTGTTTTTTTCTCTGAATGAATTTCATGTTTTCTCTTAGTTGCAAGGTAATTCTTTTAAAGCAAAGCATGAATTATCTGGTGTTTTTTCAATTCTCAGCACAAAGAGATGTAGTTTGTTTTCTATATGTATGTAATAGCCCAAATATGATAAGAACCGAATCGTGAAATTGATGCTCCATACTGGTTAAAGTAAAAATTTGTAGCTGATACTTCCTAAAATATACTGAAATTGAGAGTTCCAAACTTCATCACTCTGCTATTCCCTAATAAATTAAGGTCACGTTATTTATATTATATTTTGCTTTACATATTTGGATTAATTTATATTACTTTGTGAACTGTAATCTAAAAGCCCATGATAACTATGTGAAGCAAATACAATGGATTAATGCAAATCTCTGTGATAAGTTTGAAGCAACAAGAGGAAGCTAGATCATCTGTTCCATTAAAAACCCAGGTGATTTCTGAGAAGATGGTAAGTCTGGGAATTGGACCAAAACCTATGACCAGAGCCAAGGTCACTGCCAAGTGGGATCTCAATCTGAATAGTGTCATGAGGCTGTGGAAATTAAAGGAAATAGGAAAAGGGCTTTTAATGCTTTTCTCTCAATTTATACTCAATTTCAGTCAACTGAAACTGTTGTATTTATTGGTTGACAGAAGAGAGCAGCATTGTGTTTAATGGGGAGTTCTCACCAGTGTGATTTTTTTTTTTTTTTTTTTTTTCATTTTAAAAAAAGGAAATATAAATCTAGAGGCGAAATAGCTCATTCCAGAGTTGACTTGGAACCTTGGGTCTTCTCTGAACCTTTGGGAGGTCAGTCTGGGTCACTTTAGCTTGATGCTGGGGCCACTATGGCTGAAGTCAATGCCAATGCAGTTGTTTAAACACATCCCCTTGGTTCTGAAGACTAGCAACAGAATTTCAGCTGCTGTATTCCGAAATGGTACAAACCCAGCTCTGATGAACCAGAACTTGTCTGGGCTATAGGCTGAACTATCCAACATCTCCAGGCCTCACTGGGCTGGGCTATCCACCTTCTGGCAGAAAGAGGCCAGTAAATGGAAGGGATCAACTTACCCTCTTTCATCACCCTAGTTCAACCAAAGACATTCAAAGATTCCAAATGAAAGTAGAACTGTTGTGACCTAAAGTAGAATATTTGAGTGCCCGATTCTTCCTTGACCTACCTGCAGTTGCAGTCTTCACTGACTTGGATGTGGAAACGTTGGTGGCGTTCTTGGTCTCCTTGTCTTTTTCTTCCCCACGGGCAGCTTTGACCTCAGGAGTGGTAGTGGTTTTTGATGCCTTTTCCAACAATTCTTTCTTCTTAGGAGAAGCCACTCTGGACACCTTCTCTGAGGACTCTTTCAAGCCCACTGGTTTAGGGGAAGCAGCAGAGGTCTTAGACTTCCCATCACTCTTCTTGACAGGTGAAGATGACTTGGTCTTTGTACCTGGTTTTTTGGTTTTGGTTTTCTCTTTCAGATCTTTCTTGAGAGCTTTGCCCAGGTTCTGCTCAATGGCCAAGGCCTCTGGATCCACCATGGACACGTCAGGGTGACGGGGAGATGGGCTGCGGTCTTGCATAGGGACTGGAGGTGGGTCCATGTGTTTGTACGTGACGGTTTTGTCTGTGGGGATGGTTTCAGATTCATCTTCAGAGTCAATGTTTGCATCAGCTGTGATGGAGGGGCACTCTTCAGTTTCCGGGGGAACATCTGAGTCTGTCTGGGATGGGGCTGACTCGCTGACTGAGGTGGGAGGTGTCTCATCACACTGTCGCCCCTGTTGCTTGCCTCCTGGAGGTGGTGGGGCTCCCCCTGATTGAGTGAGGGGCTTCTCAGACTCTCCAGTTGGCTCTTCACTGGAAAACCACTCTAAAGGATTAGGATTAATGAAGGAGGGTGAGAGCTCTGTCTTGGGATGCTTGTATTCACAAGAAGACACGAGGCATAAATCAACATCCTGGCGGGCCTCTGAGGGGGACTTCTTTTCTGCCGTGTAACATCGGTCTGAAGTCTCATAGGAATACGTAGATGCCTGGGGGGTTCTGGTGATTTTTTCTGTAGTCTCATAGCAGTATGTGGAAGTATCAGGGGTTCTTGTGGTTTTTGTAGATGTCTCATAGGCGTACGTTTCAGACTCGGGAAAACTGGTAATTTTCTCAGTGGTCTCATAAGAGTAGCTGGAATCCCCAAGTGTATGGCCACCATCTTCAGAATCATCATAGCCATTGCTGATGTCATCCAGGAGCCTTCTGGACCTCTCGATCTTTTCATAGCTGTAACCGCTCACTTCAGGGGTCCTTGTAGTCTTCTCGCTTATCTCATATGAGTATCCACCCTCTTCAGGGGTCCGTGTAGTCTTCTCTGTAATTTCATAAGCATAGCCACCATCTTCAGGGGTCTTGGTGGTTTTCTCAATGGTCTCATAGGAGTAGCCACTGTCACCTGGGGATTTTGAGGTTCTCTCTGTCTTTTCATAGTAATAACCACCTACATCTGGGGTCCGGTTGGTTTTCTCATAAGATTCATAGGTATAACCTTCTTCATCTGAGGACCTGGCTGTTTTCTCTGTCTTTTGATAAGCATAGCTGAAATCACCAGGTGTCTTCCCTCCATTGTCCTTCTCCAAGCCAGATGTGGTCAAATCTCTATTCAAGGCTAGATGGTGTTGCATTGTATCAAATAACATTGAGGCACGGAAGCCATAGGGCTCTGTGGATGCTGTATCCATGGGTGGAGATGAGGAAGTGGCTGTGTTCTCTTTGACTGCAGAGGTAGAATCTGAAAAACTAGGTGAATATAAAGGAGAAGACTCTCTTGGGGTCAGAGGAGAGATATCAGATTTTGGTGAAAGCTTCTCTCCTTCCAGACTTTGCACTTTTTCAGAGGTAAGGGAGGCATATAAGGATATATCTCTGGGAGGAACCACATCAGATAGAGTATCTTCTTGGAGAGGAGAAGCTATCTGAGAAGGGGTATGTGCGGAAGAGGTGGATGGGGAGGCCTCTACCTGAGATACTGAGATCAGCTCAGAAAGATCGTTATCTTGGGTGGAGGATGGCTCCTCCATGGGCGGTATCTTATGTGATAAACTCGAGTCCTGCAAGTCAGGACTATAGTCCACTTCAGTTGGCCCATTCTCAGTGATGTGAAGCATACCTGCACCTGCACTGGGGTGATCTGGAGACTGTCTACTAAAGTCCATAGCAAGGGAGTGCTCAGGGGATTCTTGGCCAAATTCAATAGACATTGAGGATTGTTCTGATCTGTGATCTTGAACTGGTGTCCTGGATTTGGCTGTTTTAGGGGAGAAATCTGGTGGAGAAATTGACATTGGTCTTGGGCATTCTTCTTTAGATGGAGACATTTCTGTTTCCTGGAAAGTGGTAGGTGTTTGCACAACAGACACTGAAAGGGAGTCATCAACTTCTGTGGAATGCGGGGAGCCAACCTCAGCATGCAGAGAAGGAGACACATCATCTGTTGTTGGCTCTGGGAATGAGCTTGTAGCCACAGAAGCTGTGGAGACTGAAGCCACGCCCTCCATATGAGAGTATGTGTCTTCTGCTACACCCTCATCCACAGGAGTAGCTGACTTGTCTGAGACAGTGCCTTCAGAAATGGACATCTTAGTGTCTTCTTTAAAAGATCCAAACTGGCTGACATCTATTTGTGTGGGAGAGACATCTCCCCCTAACTTTCTTTCATCCAGGGCCAGTCCTGGTTGAGCACTCATGGCCTCAACATCATCAGTCTTCTTTTCTTTTTCTAAGTCTTCCTTTATTGGTATAAAGTCTGTGCTCTTCTCTTCCTGTTTCTCTTGGAAAAGCCCAGTGGAGGTTATTTCAGAAACTGGACTTATTTGGTCTGGAAAGCTTTGTTTTTCATTTGTTCCTTCAAAGGGACTTTTAGTACATCTGCCAGGAGTCTTGTCGTCAACACTTAGAAAACTTTCGTATGCAGACTCGGATCCAATTAGAGGAGGACTGCGTAAAGGAGACAAAACTTTTTCCATAGGTGACTCTGAATCAGGCACAGGTTCATCCATGGGGCTTATAGAAGGCCTTTCGCTGTCATCTTTGGAATCATCGAATTCAAAACTCACTGGGACAGCTGATGGTTTTTCGATGACTTCTGTGGGGAGGTGACTAGCTTTCTCATCCGTGGGAGATTGGTAGTAAGGGGTGTGACCGGCACTGCCAGTCGCAGACTGTGATGGAGACACCACTTCCAGAGTCTTATCCTCGGGACTAACACAGTGTTCCTCAACGACTTCTTGAGTCACCTCAGGAGTCACTGGGACCGCAGCCTCTGCTGAGACTTTAATCTCATTGGGTGTCAGAGAGAAGTTCACACTGCGTTCACCCAGAGGGGTCTTTTCTATGGGTGACGGTGGAGATGGACTCAGAGATGGACTCTTGGATGAGCTAAGTTTTTCTTCTGAAACCACTGAGGTATCTCTGATCTCCAGTGTGGCACTGGCTTTCATGTCTTTCTGTTCAGCGGAGTAAGCATCACGTAGAGCAGATTTGCTGAATTTGTCTTCCTCCATGGATGACGGTGGTGAGATAGTGGAGGCTGAAGCATTATAATCCTTGCCATCAGTGGCGTCTGTTTTTGACCCTTCAGATAATCCATTAAGTGAGATAGCCGGTTTGGAGTACTCCTGAGCATAAAGTGAGGACTCATATTTGGTGATGTTCATGAACTCCTGAGACGGGGACTCTGTCTCTTCATTGTTAGTCTCATCGCTCATCACGTCACGAGGTGTAGACATCTCATCCATTGGAGTGGGCTCGCTAGAGATCTCAATGGTAGACTGTGTATAGCCTGAGGTGGCAGTGAATTCCTCAGGCTGGTCTTCTCGGTTCTCCTCATCAGAAGCGGTGGCCTCACTCTCCGAGCCTCCAGGTAAAGTCTCATCATGAATTGAAGATGCAGGTTCTCGAGCAGGAGATTGGGCTCCTGGTTGCTTGGTTGATGTGGCAAGGAATCCATACTGATCCTCAGCACCACCGGCCTCTGCAGCCTTGTCAACCACAGCCATCACATAATCTTCAGCTTCAATTTTTTCAGGCTCATAATCTTCCTCTCTGGCATCCTCTGCTTTGTCCTCTTCATTACCCTCCTCCTCAGATTGCTCAGTCTCTCCTTTCTCAATTACCTCATCCATGTCTTCTTCTGCTCGGTCATCACCACTAGCCACAGATTCCCTCTTCTCCTTGATGTGCACATCTGCCTCAGCCTTCACACTTTCCTCATCCTCCATGGGGCTGTGCTTTGAGGTTCTCATACACACACTTTCCTCACCATCTTCTTCTGGCTCTTCAGCCTCCTCAGTTTCTGCCTTCTCTTCATAGTCTCCAGTCTCTGAGGATTCTTCAAAACCGGCTCCCTCATCTTCAAACTTTTCAATGTCATCCACACCCTGCTTCTCAACTGGCTCCAGCTCCTCGGGCGTTTGCTCACATTCCCCTTCCCCCTCAGTAGTGGTGATTCCCTCATCGGGAGACTCAGCAGGACCTTTGATGACTTCTGTCTCTTTCTGAATGACATAAGCTTCAACTGGCTCTGTTTCCTTTAGTTTCTCTTCATCTTCTATTAGCTCCAACTGAGGCTTGATGTCCTTTGCTACATCAACCTCTTCAGCCTTTAATTCTTCAAAGTCCTTAGTTAGATCTTCAGGGGATGACATCAGGGACCTCTCAGCTTCAAGTTCTTTGGCAGGACCAGTTGCTGCTATTCCAGCTGCCACCGATACGGCTGCTGCAGTGGCCACCGTGCCAATGGCTGCAGCTGCAGCCTCTGTTGTTTTGCTTTCCTTCTTAATGACTTTAATTTTCCCTTTTTCCTTTGGCTTTCCTGCAGCAACAGCATCTTTCTTCACAGACTCTTCCTTCTTGGGTACTTTTGGTTTTAATGTAACTGGTTTTTTTGCTTCCGATAGAGGAGTAGATGATTTCTTTAAGTCCTTAGAGATCTTCTTGATTTCTTTTTTGGGTTCTTTTTCTTCCTTTTTAATTTCTTTCTTTTCTTCCTTCTTCACTTCCTTCTTGGCTTCCCTCAATGGTGTTTCTTTCTTAACCTCTTTCTTGGGTTCTTTTTTCTCTTCTTTCTTGATTTCTTTTTTGACTTCCTTTTTCACCTCTTCCTTTTTTGTTTTTTCCTCCTTCTTGATAGGTGTTTTGTCTTCCTTTTTAGCCACTTCCTTCTTTGGCTTTTCTTTCTCCTCTTTCTTTTCTTCAGATTTTAGCTTTGTTTCCTTTTTCACGGTCTTCTCCTTGGTGACTTTGGGTTTGACATCTGTGGCCTGCTTTTCAGCCACCTCTGTTTTCAATGAAGACTGGTCATCTTTGCTGGACACCTCCTTTTCACTCACTGAAGGTTTGGTCTCTGTTTTGGTTGGCTTGTCTTTTTTCACTATTACCTTTTCTTTGCTTTCCACTTTGGGTGACTTTTCCACGTGGTTACCTTTTGTGACATCAAGGGTTTCTTCTTTAGACTCTTTTCGCACAGATTTGCTAGTGAGTGGTTTTGTGGCTGGCTTCAGACTTTCTCGACTATCAGCCCTTTGTTTCAGTTTTACTTGTTTCACTGCAGGAGTGACTACTTGACCAGTAAGATCTTTCTGGGTGGCCAGTGGTTGTTTCAGAAAGTCTAAATGTTTGAGTTTTTCCAGTCCTTCTAGGATATTATATTGGGTGCTGTTTCCAGGAAATAGGACTCGGATGATTTTCTCTGCAGGGTTTGCTGGATGCCACACAATCAAAGATGAGACTGAAGTTAAATAGGAAATTGGGATATCTACTTCTTGACCATTAGGTAGAATTAGTTCAGCCTTGTCTTTGTTAGTGCCAGTCCACTGCTGCATAAAATACTGCATTTCCTTGCTACTTTTGACTGGATTAAGCACATACATCTCTAGTTTACCAACTCCCATCTTTTGGAAAAGAATGACAGGATCGACGGTATTGCTAACACTTCTAAACAGAGATTCTGGTTTCATGGACAACTTGTTTAGGTACTGAAGAGTGAAACAAGCTTCTTCTATGCTTCTTTTCATCTTGATGTTTGGCTCTGGGTTTTTCAGATTTTCAGGTACATTAAGAAAGACAACTCCTAAGTCAGGGGAGATGAGGTTTTTCATCCAGTCACTATTTGTGGTGGAGCCTTGGGACTGTTCCTCCTCAAGCTCAGCTATTTTCCGCTGCAACATGCTGTTGATTCCAGGCAAATTGTCATCCCCAATGTGGGTGAGCAGGATAGAGTCCACTCGGTCCAAGTGTCTGATGAGCTTCCAGAAGCAAGACTTTCTTTCCGATCCTCCATTGATGAGCATATTGAACCCATTCACTGCAAACAACGCAGAATCGCCTCTCCCGCCTGGAAAGATGTAACAGCAGGGCTTGGACAACTTTAGAAATCCGCCAGATGTGGGAGGTTCCAGAATGTCAAAGGGAGATGGGACTTCCACTGATTCTGAAAGATACTCAGTAAATTCTGAAAGTCCTTCCATTTCTGGTAATATAGAGGCTGAGTTGAGTTTAATATTGATGAAATCCTGGAGATTGTGTCTGTCAAGATTGGAATTCTTCCAGTCCCCTTCTTCAGGACAGAACAGGGTTAAACTGGCTTTGTTGGCAGGGTGGGTGGTGCTCAGTAACTCCCCAATCTAGGATTTAAAAAAAGAAAGGATGAAAAGGTTTAAGTACTGTCATCACTAATCTATGATCCTCATCTATGATTAGATATTACAGATCACTGGATGAGTGTAGCTCTGATGGACTCATGTAATGTTGCTAATTATTTACATGTTGAAATACTTTCATACTGGCAGGTAATCAACCCCTGTCCTGAAGCCCCTGCGACCCTCCTACTACTCACACCCAAGGCCCCTTCCTCTTCTTTTGATTCAGCAACCTTGGGGCCCTTCTTGCCCTGTAGGGGAGCCCCAGACCCTGCCCCTGTTCTGGGGCCAGTGCCATCTGGACCATCAGGACCTGTGCCAGAGCGGTGATAAAATACTGTGGGTATCACCCCTGGGCACTTGCCATGACAAGATCACCTCTGAAATATCGTAAACTATCAAAGCAGTGGTAGTGATGTTGGCCCAGGATCAGACATTGTTTCGTTCTGCTGTGCATAGGGTCACTATGAGTCGGTTCCGACTCGATGGCACCTGACAACAACGACAACATCAAAGCAGAAGGCTATGTGGATGATTCACCAATGATATAGAATGTTTTCTTTTATTCTTCTGGGTCTGCCCCGCCCCTCCCCCCACCCCAAAAAAAAACAAACCTGATTGACACATTAAAGTAATTTAGTTAATAAGATGTTTGTTAATGTCTCCTTTTAGACTTTGGTAGGTATAAAAGAAAATAAAAAGGTTTTGTTTTTGTTCCCCTCTTACTACAAAATTACTGGTTTCTGGTATCAGTTCATACTATTTGAAACACAAGTGGTTCATCCAGCAGATTCTCATACTATGGCTTAAAGGGTGGTTTTGCAAATACAAATGCATTAATTGGCACTGTGATCGTTAAACTGGCTAGATAATTGTACAAGTGAGTGACCAAATTCACCCTTCATTTGCTCATATTCAAATCCAGGGGAAACACTATGAGCTCTCACAGCTCCCGTGACTTTTAGGACAAGCTGGGGATAAGTGGATGAAGATCAAATTTAGCTCAAAGTGTTTCACCACATTGTTAAGTACTTCCCATAGGATGGGAATGTGAAAGAGAAAATCAGGAACAAAATCAAGATTATAATTTAATGAAAACACTATTTTTTAAAAAAATTTTATTGTTAAGTGAGTGATAGTTTACATGGGAGAACATCGGTTTTACACTCATCTTTTCATTGCAATGATTACAATTCCCTCTGCATCAGCATTCAACATTATTTGCTTTTATTCCCTCTGTTGTTGTTGTTGGGTTTTTTTTATGATCGT